AGAAAGCCTTCAGTGTTTCCTGAATCACTTCCAACTGAATGGCAGCTGATAATTTGTATAGCTGAGAGACAATGTCTGGAGCTGTTACCCAGGGGTCACTCTTGGCACACAATGCACACAACAATGCACATTTGCATTGTCCTTCATAGCCTACTTTTACTGTCTCCTCAATTAGTTCAGAACAAGCACAGCTTACCAGTGCTACCCTCTTCATATATATTCTGTGTCATACCACACTTAAGGACATAATTACAATGGATTTCCTGTTTCTAGACCTGCTGACATGTTATATCATTTTTCTTCATTGGTAGAGCACCTTAGCTAATTGGCTGGATCATAGATTAGGGCAAAGAATTTCCTCGAAATTTGTTAAGTGAAAGGGAAAAATGTTTGGCCAAGTAGATTTGTAACTTGGAGGGAAATTTCTGTGGATTCAAAAATATCCATTTGCAGCTTAACTCTATGAATTCAAGTAACACGATTTTGCTGAGATACGACAAATGGCCTGAAATTCTTAGAGTGAATGATATTCACGCTAAATGGCTAGAGACATTTAAGCCAGTGGTATTGCATCAGTCAGGGAGAACTGGTGTCCTCGAGGCTCTGAGGAGTCGAGATTAGAGATGGGAGCAGATGCCTCCTCCCACGAAAACTGAAAGGGGCTCATACCCTGGGACTATCTGAAGCCTGATCTAGGGGCATGACCGATTATTGATGACTTCTGAGAAATACCAGGAGGACACACTTCTAGTTTCAAAATGGCAGAGTGAAGCCTGTGTTTCCTCTTCTGCTTTAAAACATTACTATAAAAGCAAGTAGGAGACTTGGAAACAGAAATACAAATTCCATCTTAAACAAAACGAAGTGTCACCATATATGAGGGAGAGGTGCCAAAGGCAGTCAAAGAGGAAAAGATGGAAGAGAAGACACCCACAGCTGGAGAGGATAGACCAAGCCAGTAGAGCCTTGAGGTCTTAGCAAATGGCCACTCTGATGGGCAAAACACCCATTCGACATGGGAACGCCATACACAAGAGGGCTGGCTGCTAGCAGGCTTCCCTGGGCCCAGATTGGCAGAAAAGAAAGGCATGGGTAAGCCAATGAGAATCCGAGATAACACACAGGTATGGGCTGCAGTTGGCCAGTGTGTGAGTGGAGGAAGAGAGACTATGGATTGTGCCCAGCCAGGCTGGGCTTAGTCAGCTGGGGACAAATAAACACACTCATTGCCTGGTGCCATAAGGAGAAATTTCTACTATCTGGAATATGGCGCTGTTCTTTCCCCATGTTATAAACCTCCAGCAGATAGCACTCACCAGAAAAATGCTGCCACAGAAATGAAGTGCTACTATAGAAAATAAAATTTATAACCAACCATATGACTATGAATTTAAAATATTTCTGAAGCAACTGCTCTATGAACAAGAGCTCAATGCAGAGATAGGACTTCAAGGAAGATGAGACAACAGGAGACATGAGCCAATGGAACAGAACAAAAAAGTAGAAGAGAAAAATAAAAACACCACAGCCATGAAAGTGGTTGCAAAGGAACAGAAATAATATTGAAAACACAGTGAGCATTGAAGGACAGATGCAAATAAGCCGGGAAAACATGCAGCACTATTTACAATTGCAAAGACACAGAATCAACCTAAATGCCCATCAATGGTAGACTGGATAAAGGAAATGTGGTTCATATACACCATGGAATACTATGCAGTCATAAAGAAGAACAAGATCATGTCTTTTGTGGGAATATGGTTGGATCTGGAGGCCATTATCTTAGCAAACTAACTCAGGAACAGAAAACCAAATACCTCATGTTCTCACTTACAAATGGGAACTAAATGATAAGAACTCATGGACACAATGAGGGGGACAAGAGATACCAGGGCCTACTTGAGGGTGGAGGATGGAAGGAGGAAGAGGATCAGAAAAAATAACTAATGGGTACTAGGCTTAGTACCTGGGTGCTGAACTCATCTGTATAACAAACCCCTGTGACATGAATTTACCTATGTAACAAACCTGCACATGTACCCCTGAACCTAAAATAAAAAGTCAAGAAAATAAAATGGAGAAAAAAGAGTTGAAAAGGATCCTAGAACATTAAATATATGAAATATAAAATATATCAAAGAAACAAATATCTAGAGTTCCTAAAAAGCAGCAACAAAATAATAGAAGTTATTTTTAACGTTAAGTAAAAAGACCAAGCCACATATGGAGGGAAAGAAATGACATGAGCCTCACACTTCACACCATTCAGTGCTATTTAGCAGTGATGCAATGCCTATGTAGTCCTATAGGAATGAAGTGTGATACAATAACATGATACCCAGGCAACCCGGTGCATGGCTGTTTAGATGTACCATAACGTATTTAACCAGTTCATAATTGGCAGTGGATACGACGATGGTGCAATGCCTATCATGATACCCAAGAACATCAGATTTGTTTTTAAATAAAATGCATGGTCTATAGGAGTGTGTATGCTACCATTGTGTTTGTGTGTATGTGTGTACATATAAACACAGGCCAGGGGTGAGCAAATTACAGCCCAGCCCAACACCTGGTTTTATAAGTAAAATTTTATTGGAATGAATGGAACACAGCCTTCCCCATTCATTCGCATATTGCCTATGGCTGTCTCACACCACAACAGCAGAAATGAGTAATTGCCACAGAGACCGTGTGGCCCTCAAAGCCTAAACTATCAGGCCCTTTTCAGAAAAAGCTTGCCAGCCTCTGACTTACAGTACACAAAAAACTGATAATGGTGATCACCTTTATTGAATGGATCTGAAGGGAAGGAGACTTACTTTTTGTTCTCTTTATACTCTTTGGTGCACTTTGAATTTTCTACCATGTTTATTCTATTACTATAGGGAGACGATGGAATGAAAGAAACTAGGAATCTCCAGGGTTCCGAAAAGCAGTGTTGTCTATGCCAGGATATCATGCTTCCTTACCACTGTCCATTTAGAGGAAATGAGCAAAGTGCAGATTCTACTTCTTCTTCTTCTTCTTCTTCTTTTTTTTTTTCAGACAGAGTCTCACTCTGTCACCCAGGTTGGAGTGCAGTGGCACAATCTCAGCTCACTGCAACCTCTGGCTCCTGGCTTCAAGCAATTCTCATGTCTCAGTCTCCTGAGGAGCTGGGACTACAGGCGTGTGCCACCATGCCTGGTTAATTTTTTGAATTTTTAGTAGAGACAGGGTATTGCCATGTTGGCCAGGCTGGTCTTGAACTCCTGGTCTCAACTGATCCATCCTACTCAGCCTCCCAAACTGCTGGGATTATAGGCATGAGCCACCATACCCAGCCCAGACTCTACTTCTAGCAAAAGCAGAGAAGCACCATGCCCAGGGGCAAATGACAAAAGGTAGAGGGGAAGAAAGACATTCGTTTGGTTGTATTTGGAGCAAAAAGCACCTCACATTATCCTCTCTTACATAAATGAATAATGAGGGACTTTGATTATATGACAGAATAGCTTTCAAACACAAAAAACAAAACGATTTTAATAGATCCTAGTTTCAGAAAGATTTTTAAAAATAAAACTTTAAAGTAATACTCTCTACTTTCACTCAGGCTCAGTTCTAAAATGTCCAAAGGGTTTTAAACTGACTCAATGCTCAGATTTTAACTGTTTAAGGACTTTTGAAAATGTACTGCTTTAGAAAACAATTTATCAACTAGTGAAGGCTCAAAAAGCAATCTAGTTCATTTTGCATTTGAGGCAGGGTTTTGTTTTTCTTAAAAAACTCATTTGAAATGTAAAAAGAGAGAGAGAATTATCCCCACCCTCAAGAAAAATGTACTAAAATTAAATATATCACTTTCATTTTTCCATATTTAGTTCTACGCTAGTATCTCTTCAGTGATGCTAATATTTAGCATTATTCACACATTGGAATTAACAAGATGATCATCTGAAGGCCAATAGTTTATGCTCTAATACAGGTGAGCAAACACGAACTTGTCTGTTCTTTGAATAGTTCTGTATCTAGCCATTTTGTAAGGCTAACCCCAAATTCTTCCTTGAAGTAATTAAGTGAGACAAGTAAATGACAATCCAGCTACTTCCTGAAGTTTTACACAAGAACTTCTCAGGAGCAGGCACTAAGGAGAGACGATCTAAGAAATGTCTCCAAATAAAAGGTACTTAAACATCTTAGCAAAGGCAAAGTGTTCTGGGGCATGGTTTTATGTGCAGCCAAGGCCACTCAAAAGACAAAACTGGCCGGACATGGTGGCTCACACCTATAATCCCAGCACTTTGCGAGGCCGAGGCAGGCAGATTACTTGAGGTCAGGAGTTTGAGACCAGCCTGGGCAACATGGTGAAACCCCATCCCTATTAAAAATAGAAAAATGAGCTGGGTGTGGTGGTGTGTGCCTATAATCCCAGCTACTTGGGGAGGCTGAGGCAGGAGAATCGTTTGAACCCAGGAGGCTTAGGTTGCAGTGAGCCGAGATCGCACCACTGCACTCTAGCCTGGGTAACAGAGTAAGACTCTATATAAAAATAAAATAAAATAAAATAAAATAAAGCCACAGAAGGCAGTCAGCCTCTCTGCAAGGTCCCAGGGCTGCCACTAGCAGATTAGGCAAAGGTGAACCTTCTCCTAGGTGGTGCAGCTCAGCTCCAGGGGGTGTAAACACAGGCTGGGTCTCTGCCCCCTCTGTGGAGCTCCTGTCTGTGGAGCTCCATGCTGCATGAACAACCTACACAGCTGTACATGGCAGTCCTGTGAGCTCCTCAACCTGAACGCCAAACGGTGTTTCCACATTCAGGCTTTCATCCTTGCCCCAGAATGCCCGCATGCATTTTCAGTTACAAATGGGAAGAGAGAATTATTTCACAGTCCCACCACCAAGACTGGGTCTCATTAAGATTCTAGTGCCATGAATCAGCCCTAGAGAGTGAAAGAGTGGTTTAAGAAATGTAATCATTTCCTCCCACGCCCCTACAGGGATGTTGCGTTGGGACTTACCGTGGTAATTCCAGCCACATGACCCAGGATGGGGACCAGTCACTGGGTGGGGCCATGTTGTGGTTGGAGTCCAGTGCTGCTGGGCTGCTGCAGTCTTCCTGGGGCTCACACTCTTTAACTTCCAAAGCTTTGAGTACTATCGAGGACGATGTTCTTTTCAATAATGCCACTGCCTCACTCCGGCTAACCTCCGTCAGTTCGACCCCATCCACATTCAACAAAATGTCACCTGATGGCCAGAGAAGCAGAAGCTATCTTGAGTGAGAGCACAAACATGACTTCTGCTTAAAGTGCAAGGGGGTAGGGGCTGACTGGGATGCAGAGATGCAGAGGGTCAAGGTTTTCTTTGTTGACGGGAGGCTGGGTGCTCACAAAGCAAATGGTAAACAGTGTGTGCATTCCAAGGTGCTGTTAAGACTTGTTTGGGGTTTTCTAAAGCACACCTATTGGTGTTTGGCTCTTGCTGAAGGAAGGAAGGAAGAGAGAGAGGAAAATTAGTCTTGTTCACTATTTAATCAAAGAAAACCTACTTTTTCACTCTTTTGTTTCTTGTTTTTAGCATAAAGTAGGAGGATTTGGCAAAAGCTCCAGCATTTGCACAGAGCCAGGCATGTAGTAGGCATCCAGTAAATATGGTTTGAATGAAAAGAAACTACCTATGAGAGTGTCTGGCAGAGGAGTCGTGGAGCTGCACTTTTTTTTTTTTTTTTTTGAAGTGGAGTCTGGCTGTCTTGCCCAGGCTGGAGTGCAGTGGCCGGATCTCAGCTCACTGCAAGCTCCGCCTCCTGGGTTCACGCCATTCTCCTGCCTCAGCCTCCCGAGTAGCTGGGACTATAGGCGCCCGCCACCTCGCCCGGCTAGTTTTTTGTATTTTTTAGTAGAGACGGGGATTCACTGTGTTAGCCAGGATGGTCTCGATCTCCTGACCTCATGATCCGCCCGTCTCGGCCTCCCAAAGTGCTGGGATTACAGGCGTGAGCCACTGCGCCCGGCCAGAGCTGCACTCTTAAAGAAGCAGCAAGAACAACATTTTCATTGCCGAGGTGAAAATAGCTACTACTGGTTAAGCATCTACAATGTGCAAGATCATTTCCATACAGATCATATAATCCTCTAGCTCATGTTCTGTTAAGAAGTCATTTGTTAACAAGCCACTTTGTTTGGCCTCATCATTCTCCACCCAGGTGTTTTGCAGAAAAGAGAAATTAAAACATACATCTCTCCTATTTCCATTTTCTATTCTTTTATCTTCATCCTGTTTCTTTCTGTCCTCTTTTGCTTATCTTTCTTATACAGAATAACCACAGCAAGAGCAAAAAAGATAGGAGGAGAAAAAAGAGAAGGGCCCTGAGTCCTTTCTGACCCAAAAGAAGCATCTTTCAGCCAGCTGACTAAATCTCTTAATATACCATCCCCCTATGGCTCCTCAGGCTCAGCAACTGTACTTGGGAAACTTCAATTTATCTCTTGAATCTGGACTTTTAAATGGCATAAATCCTCATCCATCCGAGCTACCCTCTTGTATGAACTGACAATATTATTAAGGATACATATTTGTAGAGGCAAATTTGATATCACCTTCCTTTATTTATTCAAAGTAGCCCAGAACATATGAGCTTAAAGTAGTGAAATACTTTTCACCCTGGGAAAGTATCTAGCATGATACTTTCACTTAATGAGTATTCATTGAATCAAATCTATCAAATGAGTTTTTCTATCTAATTCACATAATGGAATAATTCATGAATTAGTTTCACCACTGGATCAACCCACCAAAGAACCATGTAGAATGAATGGAACTAAATTATGCCATTTAATAGAGGTAACTTGCTCATAACTTTAGCAGTTCTCTATTAATTCCTGGAACTGTTTGGAGATTCCAGCTTTACTTGCAGGCAAGTTGGCCTGCAACTAAGAAGAGTGGAACCTGGTCTAGTATCTATACTCAAACCAGTCAAGGGCAATGGGTAACAAAAGTCCTGACTGATCACTCCCACATTCTCTCATTAATTTTGAAAATAGTCACCTAACACAACAAGCTACTAATTTCTCATAATACTCTGCCACCCCAGTGCCTTTAACATCCCTTTACTTTTTACCTGTTTTTATTCTTCCATCTCTGCTTATGACTCCTCCGGGCTCAACACTGATGACATAGATAGGCAAATCCCATTCTCTATGCGACGCTCCCCCTGCGACGGTCATGCCGAGAGATTCGCTGGGGTCTTTTTGGATATTTACCACCTTCTCATGACAAGTAATTTTAGGATGGAGGGGCTGAAAGCACAGACAGAAAAACATGGCACATGAATTTACAACTCTGGTAGTTTTTGAATGTAGAAAATGCAAAGTGGGTTTCCGTTTTCTAAATGCAAAAACTACCAAAACTGCATAAATTATGAAAAGTGCACAAATACAATGGTGGTTCTGGAAATCACAGAGAAGGACACGTGGAAAGAACCCTCAACTTATTCACCCCAACCATAATAGGGTTACATTGTCCCAAATTCTATAGGTTAACTCAGATAAAGTTTACATTTCAAAAGGAATGAGTAAAAATGGAGGAAGGAACAGATTAGAGACCATTAGAAAAATACATTTCTAAAATATTTTTGGTGGAGACAAAGCCTTGCTTTATTGCTCAGGCTGGTCTCGAACTCCTGGCTCCAAGTGCCTTGGCCTCCCAAAGTGCTGGGATTACAAGCATGAGCCACTGCGTCTGGCCATGGAAGAATCTTAAGTACACAGACTGCACTCAAAATTTCGCAAGTGAGTCATTTATTCCTGATAGTAGTGAGTCAGCATTTCAGAAATGCTGTCATTTATGAGTATCAGAAACTTTTCTAAGTTAAAAAAAGTAACCACATTTTATAGAGTCTTCTTTCACACCTGCTCAGTACTTACCAGACAGCCTTGCCTGCGGTGAGCAAGCAATGTTTAGTTGTGCACTGAGGGGCTGGATGCAATGGCTGAAATACCACAAATACGACATGTATGCATGTGTTCTGTGTCTCATGAACCAATGTTCATGACCATTTCCTTTCTCAACCAGAAAGAGACCAATGTCAGCAATGGAAAAAAAAAAAAAAAAAGAAATAATCTGTGAAAGCTTCACACCCGGGGTTACCTGACTTTGGCTGGAGAGGAGGATAGTTATGTATGATAGAGATGACTTTTCTATCTATCTTTTCTCTCCATTCTCCTCACCCTACTTTGGACACCTTAAAATGTTCCTTGATGTTTAAAAACATAATTTATGATAAAATAGTTTAAGCTAATTAAAAACACGATGGGTACCTGAGTATTTCTCAAATTACAAGACGTATTTCTATTTTAGAATATTTGCTTTGGATATTTAGAATAAAACATTTTAGACAAGTAACAAAGCATAAAGAATAACAGAATGACCTACCCATGTACCTCAAAACCCTACATCAGAAATAAACATTCCATGTGCACTTAGTCCCTCTGTGACTCTTTCTGCTCATAGTCCTTTCCTCCCCACAGAGGGAAACCATGCAAAATTTGATGCCTATCATTCCTTGACTTTTTTAATTGGCTAAAAGTTTTCTGTCCCACAAATCCTGCTTTGTCTTCTTTGGTATTTCTTTGAATTGTTTAAGCTCTTATTTTTAAAAAGCTACCTAGTTTCCTAAACCAAACAAAATTTTTAGTAAGAATATAAAAATTGAAATCATCAAAGAATCATATACGTCTTAGTTTTATTTTAAATATGTTACTTTTTTGTGAGGATATTTCAGAAGGCAGATAGAATATAAGTTAAAATGGAAATAATTACAATTCCCACTAAGTCAATTTGTATGTTTCCAGGAATTAAGACACATGACAGAGGGTTGCAGCAGAAATGTGATCAGATCCTCCCAGCTCTTTCATGATGAGGAGGTGGAAGGAATTATAAAACCACAGTGCAGATGGAGGCTACCATCTGCAATTTGATGACTTAGAATATGACATATTCTAGTTAATTCAACTAAGATTAGTTAATTGGATAAAAACTTCAATTAAGTTAATAAACTAGTTTTCCATTAATAAAGATGATCAGTTAAATTTAAACATTAAGCATTTACTAGCAAAAAGACATCAGGGAGTCTCCTTATCCGTAAAATGTTTTAGTGGAATATATTTGGTCTATCTAGACTCCTTATTGTAAATAAACATGTAATTTATGGATTTATGAGGCTTGACTGGCTGGAGAACCCGGAAGGGTATATAACCTTGTAGGCTCTGTAATTAACACAGCATACAGCAGAGACGTTCCAAAATAAAAAATTTGATATTGTTTCTGTATGTATTACTCAAAAACTCAATTTGTAAGCTATTCCAACCAACATATAGATTGACGTGGAAAAAAAAGGGCATTCCCTACTCTCTGTTGCAAGAAGAATGAGCTACCGTTAAGAATTTTTTTTAGTTACAAGTGATGCCATGAAACCAGAACTCAGGAGAAATGACTGAAAAAAAGCTCATTAGCATCACAACAGGATGCCAAGCTAAAGCCATAGGACTCTTAATTTGGACTAAACACGGTTTGTGTTGCTTAAACACGCATCTAAATGAAGAGGTTAAGGCATTGCATCTAACAGAAGCCACAGAGAGAAGTACAAATTGAACTGCGTCACTTCATTTAAAGAGAGGCTGCAAACTGGTGGCCTGAAGAAGGAATTCCACCCACAGATCCACAGTGTTTTAGAGTTTTCTGGATTGAATGCCATATAACATGTGCTCTCTGGTTTGCCCCAATCCCCAACACTCCCTAATGTTACATGAGCTGCAAGTGTTTAAATTATCTTCCTGGGCCCTTCAGCAAACACAAACAAAAACTAAAAGTAGCCGGGAAATCATTGATTTCTAGGCAGACCAAAAAATTCAAAAGCCAGAAACCAAGCGAAGTGTTTGCTTCATTTCAAAGTGAATAAAATACAATCCTTAAAAAAGATGACTCTTGGTAAAAACATGACATTTATTTGGCTTAGGCTAGAAATCAGGTCCCTGTATGAGGTCTGCATGATCAGGTTTCAAAACCTTCCTGCACCTTCGTCTCTCCTGCTTGGATGGGAGACACCTGTTATCTCTTCAAGTCTTAAATATGGGACTTTGGGCTTTTAGTTTTACAAGTCAAAGTGTCTGTTTAAGTAAAAAAGTCCTGAGATGACACTTAGAAATGTTAAAGCAAGCAGCCTTCCCAAGAAATAGCTCCTTGCAGGAGCAGGGGACCTGCCCTAGAGGCCTCACCTTGGGAGTGTTGCTCCTCTCCCCTGGCCCTGGGGACCAGCTGCCATTGCTGTTCCAGCTGGCTTCCTGAAAGATGTCAGGGCTCCGCCGAACCTGGCGGGACACGATGAGGTGAACACGTCTTTCACTGGCCTGGGCAAGAAGACACAGGTATTAGCCACTGTCAGTTTCCATCCACTGCATCCAGCACCAGGGACTTACAAAGACATCACTTTGATTATACCATTTTTTTATGGCAAAACATGGTTTCTAGTTTGTGGTGTTTTTTTGTTAATATCCATCTTGTAATTTGGCAACAGCATGAGAGCTCTTTCCTTTATCCTTAAACCAGGTAGTGAACGTTGCTCAAAGGGAAAATCTAAGGAAGGTTTGGTTCCTTCCAGTCTTTGAAAAGGCATCATTAGATATTGCTAATTCGTTTTTAATTAATGGTTCTACCACACACAAGCCATGTCCTAAGTTCTTCCTAGAAAGAATTAGGTTCACAGTGTAAAGTAGCAGCCCAAAGCAAAAGTCTGAGATCAATGGTACACAGTAAAGAAAAAGAGATAGAGTTAATGGCAGTAACCTGCCACTATAGGAAGAGAAATCCTGAGTCTGACACTTGCAAATATTTGGGCATAGGAAAGGTTTAGCACTTTAGAAATATGGGGATGACTTCATACATTAATATGTACAGCCTAATCAAAATTCTTTACCTTCAATTCACAATCACAAAGACATGGAATCAACTTAAGTGCCCATCAACTGATGAGTGGATAAATAAAACGTGGTATGTATATACCATGGAATACTACTCAGCCACAAAAAAGAATGAAATGTCTTTTGCAGCAACTTGGATGGAACTGGAGGCCATTATTTTAAGTGAAGTAACACAGGAATGGAAAATCAAATACTGCATGTTCTGACTTGTAAGTGGGAGCTAATCTCTGGGTATGCAGAGGCATACAGAGTAATATAAAGGACTTTGGAGACTCAGAAAAGGGGAGGGTGAATGGGGTGAGGGATGAAAAACTGCCTATTGGGTACAGTGTACACTATTCAGGTGACAGGTGCACTAAAATCTCAGACTTCACCACCACACAATGCCTCCATGTAACCAAAAACCACGCATATCCCTAACGCTATTGAAATATAAAATGTTTCAAAGACTGCAAAAGAGTAATTTGCCTTGATTCTTTATTTCTTATGGAACTACCACTTACTCTGACTGCTAATTCTCTCTGCTATGTACATCGATATTTGGACAGGCATTCAGAAGAGCAAACATAGTACTTATTGGAAAGGTCTACTCCACATGATTGATATGGTTTGACTGTGTCCCCAGTCAAACCTCACCTTGAATCATAGCTCCCATAATTCCCATATGTCATCGGAGCGACCTGGCAGGAGGTAATTGATTCATGGGGGCGGGTCCTTCCCATGCTGCTCTCGTGATAGTAAGTCTCATGAGATCTGATGATTTTATAAATGGGAGTTCCCCTGTACAAGCTCTCTTGTCTGCCACCATGTAAGATATCCCTTTGCTCTTCCCTCCTCTTCCACCATGATTGTGAGGCCTCCCCAGATATGTAAAACTGTGAGTTCATTAAACCTTTATAAATTACCCACTCTCAGGTATGTCTTTATTAGCAGCACGAGAACAGACTAATACAATGATACATTTACAGTTTGTCTTTCTGCCACAGATTAGCTTCACATGTGTCGGGTAGTATGGGTCATTATTCCAGAATTGCTGACCATTGAGATTTCAGAGCTGCAGGTCATTCAGACTAAATCTTAGACCTATGAAACTCACATAAATGGAGCTCTCTGGTGGCCTATGCTGAAGTAGCCAGCTGACCTCATGTATCTCTTTAGTAAAAGCTGAAAATGAATGAGATATGGAAGATTTGATTAGAAAGGTTCCCAAGACAGACCTGATTTAGGGACAAGGGAGATGGAAGAGAGAGGAGTAAGGTTTGGTGGTTTCTGTCTTCATTCCATCCCTTGCCCACTCACCACCACAGCAGAGAAGAGGCCAGCCTTCTTCCTATACAGGGATGGTTATTGGGCTAGGGGAGAAAGTCAGGTCATGAAAGGACGGCATTGAAATTCCATGCTCTTTTCCATTGACTCAGACAATGGGGGTGGAGATATTTGCTTCCTGTCTGCTATGGTCTGCACATGTTTCCCCAAAATTCAGATGTTAAAATCCTAATCCACAACATGGTGGCATTTGGAGGTAGGGCCTGTGGGAGGTGATTTGGTCATGAAGGCAGGTCCCTCCTAAGGGGATTAGTGCCCTTATGAAAGGGGCTGGAGGAAGTTTGTTTGCCCCTCTACCATGTAAGGATAAAGTGAGATGGTGCCATCTGTGAGGAAGTAGCCATCCCCAGACACCAAACCTGCTGGTGTCTTGATCTTTGACTTCTTGACTTCCAGAACTGTGAGAAATAAATTTATGTTGTTTATAAGCCACCTAGGATAGTGTGTTTTGTTACAGCATCATGATGGACTAAGACACTGCCTTTTCTGCATCTTCCTTCTCAGAGCACACAACTCACTCTCAGGAACTAGGACCTTGTTTTAAAAATCTCAAGTAAACACACTTTGCGAGGCTGAAGCGGGCAGATCACTTAAGGTCAGGAGTCCAAGACCAGCCTGGCCAACATGGTGAAACTCCTTCTCTACTAAAATACAAGAATCAGCCAATCACGGTGGCAGGCACCTGTAATCCCGGCTATTTGGGAGGCTGCAGCAGGAGAACTGCTTGAACCCAGAGGGTAGAGGTTGCAGTGAGCCGAGATTGTGGCACTGCACTCGCGCCTGGGTGACAAAGCAAGACTCTGTCCCCCCTCCCAAAAAAAAAAAATTCTTAAGTAAAAACCACCCACTAGTGAAACCATATTCCTATGGTTGTCTGACACTAACCAGTCCAAATCTTCACGACTTTGCGTTCTTATAACACTTCTTCTCAGGGCTCTCTTGAAACTTAGGGGTCATGATTTGGGTGGCTGTAAATTAAATGAACTTTTAGGGACAACTGCCTGGGTACAGTAAGAGTGTCTATTGTAACATCAAAATGGATGATCAGCCAGGTGAGTTGACTTATTTCACAAAAATTAGAAAATCCATCTGAAAAGGGCCCAAAAAAGAAGTTGGAGTCCTCTGCCCCATGCCCTTCACACAAAGCCCGGCCATCACTTCTGATCTCCCCAGCCAAGGCTAATGTGCCCTTCCTTTGTTCACCTATCTTGAATTCCCTGGTGTTTCTCATCACATATAAAGCTTGTGTCTGAACATAACAAAAATAAAAAGCCCAGGAAACAATTGTGAAGAAAGCTGACACGAAGAACGATGGAATTAGCCAACTAAATCCAATTCTTGAAAGAGTATTTTGTAAGAGCTGTGTCTTTCTTTGTACGGTAAGCCTCCCTTCTTCTAAATAAGATTATCTTTGGGAACTCTCTAAAGCAAAACTTACTAAAAGAGAAGAAGTGGTGAACATTCAGGTCAAAACCCCAATTACTGAGCTTGAATTTGCTCTCTTTGGGGAAACTCTGATGTTTTGAAGGATCCCAGCAGTGTGTCCGTAGGCCTGCAAAATGCATCATGTTCATTTTGGACGAGGAGCAGCCACATGATCTAAGCACCTCAAAAGAACTTAGAAACTTTTAGACTTACACATCAAATCAACTTGCCAGGCAAAATCCAAATTGCCGAGGAGAAGCCTGCAAGAACTATTTAATTCACATTTTCAAGGACAAATTTCTCACTGGATTTTCAAATGCTGGCTTTGGTATTAAGTTGTTGGCAGGAATAACACTACAATAAATAACTCTGGTATCAATTTACTTGGAAAGAAATTCTCTGCAAGACTGGATCTGTGGCTCTTACCAACCACCTTGTAAACTCACAGGAAGACTTTGTTTGATGCACTTTTGTGGTGTTTGAAGATATAAGGTGGAAAATGGGCTAATATGCTTGTCCTGGCTTTAACTCCTATCAGGAGCTGGATTCAGTGTAAAGAAACATCCCCTACCACTACAGAATCTTTCTTTCCACTGGTATGAATGTGGTGTGAGTGTGAGGAGGGGGAATATGGGGGAGACACAGAAAGACTGAATGAGAAAATGGCAGAAACTTGTTTATTTCACACCTACATGATATGTGCCAAGAAAGTGGATACAGCAGATCTGTCATTCCAGCAAGCAAAGAATAGCTTGCTGCAAGAAAGAGGTAAGACAGCTTCTCTCTTGCATCTCTTGGGATGTTGCAATTTGCGCAAAAGGATGGTTTAACAACGGTGGCTACCTTAATTAGAAGGCGTGACTTAAAGTTTCCTCTCCTCTCTCCCTTAAGAATCCTAGATTGTGATCTAGGCAAATTCGGGACACACTGGTTACAACCTACATAGCTTGACTGCTGTACCATATTCTTTCTCTCCCAAGAGCGCAAGCATTAGACTCCCTCTCTCTTTTCCGCCCTGGGCCAGTTCCCTCCTTAGGAAACTTGGTGGTCCTCCGCTCCTGGGAGGGCACCATATTGATGCCAAACTTAATGAAGACACCCAATCGGCAGAGTGCACTACCGCCCAGAGCTCCTGGGCTCAAACGACCCTCCAGCCTCAGCATCTGGAGTAGCTGGGGCTACTTCACCCGGCATCCCTCTCTCTTTCTACAGGCAAAGAGGAAGGGGTTCTGATGCCACCCATATTCTCCCCTGTGGACTTTAGCTTATTGGCAGCCTCCTGACAAGCACTCTGTCCCCAAGGCTGATCTATGCCTACCCTGGGCCAGACACCACACTGGGAACCTTGAGGACATGGTTCCTGCCCTCCTGAATTGTTTCCTACTGCAGGGATAGTCAGATGGGAGTGCCATGAAAGAGAAATAGCAAATATACTTAAGGGTTTCCAGAGGTGGGACCGATTACTTCTGGCTGAGGAAATAGGAACCATCTAATATTCAGGAAAAAAAGAGGGTTAAAACTAAGTAGCATTTGTATGGAAGGACTTGCTTTCTGTCGTTTTGTTTAATGACTGCTTTTCTCTGTTGAGATTTGACTCAAAACTGCCAGTCATATTTATATGATGGAACTAAGCATTTTGCAGAGCTGTACACTGGAGCACAGGGCATCTTTCTAATTTC